TTATATCTATCTATATCTATACAAGTAGAGACTCACTTAAATAAAAGTTGAAATACATCCAGCTTGGTTTTTTTTTGTTTTTGCTTTTGGTTTTTTTTTGCGCAACTGGGGATTGAACTCAGGCCCTTGCGCTTGCCAGGGAAGCGCTTATTCCACTGAGCCATCTCCCCGGCCCTACATCCAGCTTGTTAAGGAGTATAAATGGTAAGATAATAATCTGAGTAGACAATCTGATTAGATCAGCAAAATTAAGGCAACCCACATCAATTGTTAAGCTTTTAAAATACGTTTCTTTTTCCTGTCTTTCTCACTCACTCTCAAGACTCTCTGAAAGGTAAAATTATGTGTCTACACTAGACCACGGAAGGCAAGTGAGACCAACCAGCGAGAAGAGCACGTCATCTGTTAGACATGACGATTCCTCTTCTCCTTTGTCCCTACCAGCATCACTGCCGCGGTCACCACTGCTGCCATTATCGTACCACAGCTCCCATAACTACTTATGTGGTACCCCGCTCTGCTCTAAGAGTTATTCGCTATACTTAATCACAAACCAGTCCTGTGAGGTAGGTGCTATTGAGATACTTAACAGAGTAAGAATAAGGCACAGAATATTAAATAGCTTACTCAGCATCGTGCAGATAGTGGTGGAGAGTAAGATTTGGATTCAGGCAGTCTAGTTCTACAGTCTACGCTATCAACATTATTGTGTTATCTATATTTAAGCAGAGTCACTAAAAATAAAATGAAGAGTGATAAACTGCCCATGTGTCTCTGTTACTACAAATCAATACTTGAGAAGTTCAGTTTTAAATCAGCATAATAAAGATGTAAAACATCTGCACAATTATACTGAGAAATAAAATCTAAATATATGTAAGACTCACTGAGTACTACTCCTGTCTCATGCTTCTAGTGGCATGCTGTATTCCGCTGCTACCTCTAGGATTATTTATTCCAAGGAAAGATGTTCTGTTACTTCCTCTAGGACGTCATGATGTACCCTCGAGCACCCTGCCAGTAGAGACGAGGCCTGGGACATCACACCTGTCAAGCTCTCTTGCTCTAGGTGTCATATCAGGCGATTCTCACTGACACAGAACAGCGAGGCTTGTCTTGACGGACACCAAGCTCTCCGGGGCCCTGTGAGCTGCTGCTACAGTAGCTGCTCCTCCAGCAAGGATGAGGCCAGGCCCATGCTGGCCTGTTACCGGCAGCCACACGCTGCCAGTGAGGCAATCCTCCTGCTTAGGAAACATTCCCCAGCCATTCTCTTTCATCACTGCCATAAAACTAAAATCTAACTCATTTCATTTCTACATCATTTCCAAATTCATGCAATTTCATGTATTTTCTTGGTTACTTGAATAGGACTGTTCAATCTACATAAAATTTGCTTTGTATATGCAGAACTTCAGTTTTCAGGTCCATTTCTGCCATCACTGTGAAGGAGAATTTCATTTTAAGTACCACACTCATGTATGCCTCCTCATTACTTAGAGCGCATAGCCCTGGATGGTCAATGTTTTCAACTTTAGCAACTTTGTTTGTAATTTTCATCAAATATTGTTTGTCTCTTTATTTATGTTAATTCCATGTCACATCACCATTCACACGTTGCTGCCTCCTAAATTAGATTTTGCCTTTTAGTTTTCTGCTTCTGAATCTTTGTACCAGGGAATGAAGGAAACATCTGAAGACATTCAGGCTACACTGAAGTCCTTTTCCCTATTTCTTTTTTTGCCACTTGTGCAGGCCCACCACACACATTTCCAGGCCTCGGTGGCTGCAGCTGAAGGTACCACAGCCCAACTGGGAGCCTCTGTTTCTGCTGCTGGGCGTCCGCTTGGCGCGAGCTGGCTCCCCACTCTACCTCCCTCCACCCTGCCCTGGGCGCAGACAGCACAGCCTGCTTGGCAGACAAGATGCTGGAAAAGGACGCTCAGTCTGGGCCGAGCACCGCTCCAGGCGGCATCAATGTCTCCCTGCACCGTGCGCTGTGGCCACACTCTGAGCCCTCAGCCTGGACGCACTGCTGCACCCCTTCAAACGTTCCTTGATGTTTTCCTTAGCCCACACTTGCAGCCCGGAATAATTAACTCAGTGTGTGGTGTCAGTCGTGCCGCACACATGGTTTATCCTATACGCAAAACCCTGCTCTAGAGAAGCACCAACTTTCCAGTCAGCCCAGGCCTCAACTTGTCTCCCTTCTGGCTCCCGGGGCCTGCGTCCCGAAGGCCAGCGTCCAGCACTCGGCTGCCCTCGAACGTGCCTTCTCCATGCAGAGAAGAGAACAAGCTGTGACAGCTGAGTCAGCAGTGGCCACCCCTTAGCTCACAGTAACTCTTTTTTCGTGGTCTGAAATACTCTATGTTGACACCAGCTATAATTTCTTTGACTCTGTTTCACTTGTGTGTATAAGGACTCTCAGAACCTCTCTCTGCACGCTACGCATACCCTAATTAAGTGAGCCGAGCTGCACTGCTCTCCTCAGCTGTGGCTTGGGTGTGAGCGAGCTGCCACAGCACCAGTCGCGGGCCACGAGGACAGCATAGGCGCGCCAGGGCCAGGGGGCGCGGGGTCGGGGGGCGCGGGGCCAGGGGGCGCTGCTCCAGCTTGCCTCGCTCGCTGCCGCAGCATCCTGTCCTCTGACACTCACGCCCTCCATTAGCTCCGCAGTCAGACGGTCTCACTGCCTGCACAGCCTGACGCTGACGCTGGCCTGCAGAAAAGACCTGAGCCACTCATAGTTTACACTGCTTAGTCTGAGGGAGACAAAGCAGAAAACTGAAAGTTAAGAGATCAGAGCTTGGTAATATTCATCCAGATTCCATGTGGAGCCTCATAATAGCTTTACTTTAGAAATACAGCTCAGAATTACAGAGCAGGTTGCTTATGTCTGAGGCTTTGGGTTTCATTTCAGTTATTTTGGCTTTGAAAAATTACATCAGCAGTTATAAGTAATATTGCCATGACGTAGCAGAAATATCAATGTGGGTGAATTATATAAACATTTTATTGGGTTTTGGGTTGGTTTTTTTTTTTCCTTTTGGTGGTACTGGGCACTGAATACAAATCTTTTTGATTGAGCTACATCTACAGCCTCCATCTGACCCTTTTTAGACATTTGCTTTGATTTTGAGACAAGGTCTCACTGCCTGCACAGCCTGAGCTCCCGAGCTTCCCACTCAGCTTCCAGAGTGCTGGGAGGACAGGCGACACCACACCTGGCTCACTCTAGTGTTCCCTGGTTTGGCTAATGAATTTTGTTCTGTTTTGTTTTAAGATTTGTCCAGTGATATTAAAACACACAGCTCAACAGCAGGCTCTGTAACTGGCATTTTAAAAAACCAAAATAAGGAAGTAAATAATAGAAACAATTTGCAGTAGTACAAAACAGAATTGGGTCTGGGTCCACGTGAAGAGTTTTCCTTTAATGACTTGACTGTACTACACAATCCTAACAGTAGGCAGAAGATGATATATTTTTGTTAAGCATTGATAAGATTTATCCAAAACTTTGATGGGCCTTACAAGAGGATGTCACATGATTTATTCTCAAAGTCAAGTCTATATTTTGTTAACATTATTCATTTTTGGCTTCTAGCTAAAAACCTAATTGAGGAGTTACCTAACAGTGAATTTCATACTCAGTTTATCCTAGAGTAGTATTTCTCGAGCTTAATTTGCATCAGCAGCATCTGATCCGTTGCTGGAAGCACCCCACCTGCAGCTCTAGGGAAAGCCCAGAACTGTACTGTGAAATTCTCCAGGGTCTGCAGGTGCTGCTGCCTGAGACTATGCTTTGAGCCACTGCTTTTGAAAATGCTTAGGAAATTATATTGTGTAGTAAAATAGGTACTTTACCACAACTTTGAGGATTTAATTATACAATTACCTATATATTTGGAGTGGAATCTAAACTTATTTTAGAGGAACAAAAATTCTAGCCATGCTTATTGTATCAGGGTGTGGTGCTGTTGCTCCTAAGGGACTTGCTATTACTGCATGAGCACTGAACAAGTTCTCTTCCACCTCCGCTGGCTTTTGGAAAGCGGAGGTTAAAATATGTGCCCTGCTATGGTAGGAGACAGAAGCTTAGTCTACCTGCACCATTCTGTTTGCAACCTTCATGTTTGTAATTAATGTATGTTTCTTTTGAGGGGCCTGGCTGGGTCCCCGGGACTCAACCCAGGGCTTCTGCATGCGAGGCACATGCTTGAGGGCTGAGCTGTGCTCTCAGAGTCTTGTTGGCCCCCTAGCTTATTTTCTCTTGAGACTTCTCCAGTGGCAGTATTATTGCAAATATAATATTAATACTCATATATAATGCTCATGATATACACTAGCATCATGAACCAAAATATGACTTGAGAACATAAATGATGAGCAAGAGCAGTGAAATATTTCCATTTCCCGGGCTAGGGATACAGTGCAGCGGCGCAGCACCGCCTGGCCAGTAGAGTCACGAGCTGATTCCCAGTAGAAAAACAAAAACCAAAACAAAAAATACCTATTTTCACTCTTGCCAGTACTTGTACTTAACTTACTCCCTAAAGATAGTTCAAGAAGATTCTTACTGAAAATCTTTTGAACTCCTAACAGCTCATGAGCTGGAATGTACTGTAGTAATTCAGTAATAAACCAGATTCAATTAAAATACTGTAAGATGAAAAACAAATCTGTAAGGAAACCACAATAGAAGGTCCTCCTAACTATGCTTGGGTGTCACAGGCTTTATAAGATTAGAAATTCCTGAAGACTTATCCAGAGCGTTAATCTCTTCTATTAACTAAAAATGTAGGTTTTCTTTTGCTAATAAGCCAAAGCCTACCCTTAGGAGGAGTACAATGAACACATTATAAAAATTAGTACTTAATGATATTATGGTGCCACCGCATTATATGTTTTGTCTGACTAATCTGCATTCGGTAGCTAAAAAAAACTAATGGTTTCATATGATTGATTATTTTACAACTTTAAAAAGAAAAATGTCTTGCCTTCGAATGGTAATCTTGTTCCAGTCTGGGATCTGATCCGGCTACCTGTTTGTATTTGTTAATTTTCATTTGGCGGTTTCTCTCCTCTATATCCATAGCACCTATCGAGTAGAAAAAAACCCAGAATATTAATGTTGAGTCCTTATTTCTGAGTCCTACTTATAGGACGTATATAGAAGAAATACTATGCTGTACGTTACCTTCACTTAAAGTATTATATACAAATTAAATGCCATTATGTTTTAGATGCACTTAAAGTGTGCGGTTTTGTAAATAAAAACATAATTATTAATAGATAAATAATTTTAATCTAAATAGAAATTAAGTGAATTTAAAGAGAAGACAACAAACTTTCTAAACTAGAGAAGAAACACTTTCTGGTACATCTACATCCCGGAGAATACATCTGATAGCATACAAATATGACAATGATAATATAAGAACTTTAGTTTTTAATTCATTATAATTTGATTCATTTATGTAGTAAAGGTGTAAGTCTAACTGGTTTCAAATGCAACTTTAGAATTATCACAAGACAGGCTTTGTGGCATATGCCTATAACCCCAGCACTCAGGAGGCTGATGCAGGATTGTGAGTTCGAGGCCAGCTTGGACTATACAACAAGACCCTGTCTCAAAAAAAATTATCATGAGTTAAGCCTTGTTTTAAAGTAAGTTAAGGGGCCAGGGAGATGGCTCAGTAGAATAAGTACTTCCCTGGCAAGCACAAGGGTCTGAGTTCAATCCCCGGTTCCACCAAAAAAATAAAATAAAATAAAATAAAAATAAAGTTAATTTAGTATACATGTCAGGGACTTTTGATACTGAATTTTATAGAACCAGGACCAAGAAAGAGGCTCTCTGAACAATATTTCTGATAGTGTATTATGCCAATAAAGTCACAAAGTATTACTGATGTCAATTCAGAAAAATAAAGTTATAATGTGAGGAGGCAAAAAGGTGAAATGATAAGGCCATTGCAAAATGAGATCAAGGTACTCAAAACAAATCAGTAATAGATAACAAGAGGGTCTCTGTTGAAATAAGAACTAAATTAAATTAGTAAGTCCTAGAAAATAAAAAAATCAAAGACTATTTATGATTTTTATTAAGCAAGAAAAATTTCAATTATATGCTATATATTTATATATGTAGCAAAATAAGTGGGTTCAAATGGATATCCAATATAGAATAGCATGCCAATTCAAGAGCACTGTGTACATAGGCAGAAATGTAAACATTCACAAACACACCTTTGACTTAAGAAAACTTAAAGCTGAAGTATATACATTTAGACAAAAGTGTGCCTATGAAAGTGCAAGTATTTTAATACTTACCTGATTTTAAAAATAGCATAAAGGAAAAAGGGATTGAAAAAGCACCAGCACAATTAGAAGTTACAGTACCTTCTCCTGAGCCAGCATTTCAATTTTTAATGTTTTAATTTTTTTAAGTATCACTCTCTGCCCTGAAAGAAATTTGACTGCATACCAGGTAATTTTTATCAGCAGCAAATTTTTAGTTAAAATTGATAAAATAAGATAGAAGAAAATATTTCAAAAAGGAATAAGAAAATTGGATAAAAGTACATATAGAGATCTTGTATCCTATGACCTCTAAATATGCCAGCACTTTTAAAGCAATAGTAGTCAGTAAAGTATTAAAATTGTAATAACAATTTGATGAATTGACTTCATGTCAAATGCATAGTGCAGAACATTAGTATCGTGCTAATATAAATTAGTCATATATAAAACCAGATGTGTGTCTCCATGATACAAATGTGAAATACAGCCTAGTATAAACAGCTATTAGCTTTTAAACTATAATTTTGGGATTCTTTGTACCTCAAGAGAAAGTCCCAAATAAAGACATTTTTTCCAATAACTAAGGAATAAAAAGCCTACCCCAGCATCAAAGAAGTATGAGTACTGAAAAGATAGTAGCTAACCTCAGTGTTTCAGAAGTTTATCAAAACAAAGTTTCATGGTGCTACTTCCACAGCCATTCAGTGTGCTTGGCTGCTTGTTTGTGCAGTACTGTGAATTGCACCTGGTGCCTTGTGCTTGCCAGGTAGGTGCTACTCATATTGCACTATGTTAAATATGAACGGTACCGACCAACAGTTTTCCACACACATACGTATGCACGCATACGTACTTTCTAATATTCCCACCAACTGGTGGGTGGCAGCCTCTCATGCAGATGCATAGGTTCTGTGGAATCAGTAAGCAGTAACTGTGGCCCATTTGCTGTGAAGGACTCACTAAAAAATACTGAAGACTCTTTGAACTTCATACAAACTGTGACCAGCACAACTCTGCTACTGTGGCCTGAACAAAGCCACAGATGTTGCTGCCTGACAGTCTTTGGTGCACTGCTGTATTGCTGCCAGCAAAAGAGCCTCTCTCGGGGCTGGGGAGACAGCTCAGCGGCCTAAGTGCCTTCCTGGCAAGTGCAAGGATCCGGTTCAATCCCTGGTGCTACATGCTGGGCTGGCCCTGGGTGCCAAGCTGGACACTGAAACTGGGTGTGGTGGCGCACGCCTGTAATCCCAGCACTGGGGAGGCTGAGACAGGAGAATCACTATGCATCTAAGCTGCACAGCAAGACCCTGTACCAAATAAATAAATAAATAAATAAATAAATAAATAAATAAAGAAAAAAAAAAAAAAAAAAGAAGTAGTATGCATTTAGAAGACCAAAATGACAGGTATTTCAAGCACGGTTTTATTATTACACATCGCTATCCTCAGTGTAGTTGCTTAGTTCACAGGTATCAGCATATAGAGTTAGTCAGGGTGAGAATTCTACCCATTAACTACTATTTTCAGGAACCTGATGGAGATTCTCAGGACCACTGCCTTAACCATCTTGTTATATAAATGTATGGTTTTGCCACCATATTTCCTGACTTTTCTCCTTTCTCTCTCTTCGTTGTTTAATCCTTAAGTTCTCGCTTTCCCTTTAACTGTGTTATACCTTTCGATTTTTATTTCTTCTTTTGAGTTCTTACACTAGGGAGACAGTATGATATTTACACATGTGGGTCTGGTTTATTTCACTTATGAGTATAGCTTCAAGTTGCATCCACTTATACATGAAGGCTTTGAGTTTATTTTTCTTTATAGCTGAGTAATACTCCATTGTATAAAATACCACATCTTTTTCATCCATTCCTCAGGTGATGGGCATTTTGGTTGTTTCCAAGATTTTGCTATCACAAATTATGCTTCTATAAACATAGGCACACATATATCACTATGATATCATGTTTTCAGTTCTTTTGGGAAAATTCCTAGTAGGGGGATAGCTGCCTTGAATGGGATTTCTAGTCCTAGTTTCTTAAGAAGTCTCCACACTGATTTCCATAAGGGTTGCACCAGTCTACATTCCCACCAGCAGCGGAGAAGGGTTCCTTTTCCCCCGCAGTCTCTCCAACATTTGTTGTTGGTTAATTTCTTTATGATAGTCATTCTTTCTCTTACTTCAATGAGAAGAAAGGTTTGTACTAATATTGTTTAGACTAGGTATTATGTTGGTATCTTGTCCTCTGAATAACCACTATGAAGACAACAATATGCAATGTATTAATTAGCGTAACTGTTCTACTAGCCTGTTTTGAAACTGTTTCAGTGCTATTTTATTTTCTCACTAAAATGAATAAAAAAAATTTTTAAAGCTTTAAAAAATAAAAAGCAGCCTTTCTCCTCAACAAAGGGTGAAAAGTAAGTAAAATCAGATTGATGCAACATCAGAAATATATTTAGCCAACACTACACCTAACAATATCAATCTATATTTACTGTACCAGTAAAGATGCAAGAAAGTGATATAACCACTTAACTACATTTAAGTTAAATTCCAGTCTTAATTTCTCATCTCCATTATCAACGAGGAGTTGCCAGTGAAATCTCAGTGGGACACTTGAGCAAATACCACACCACTAAATAAAGTTTGATTTTTAGCGTTAAATTCTTCCTATCAGGTTAATCCATGGGACAAAGCATACCCAAACAAGTCTCCTTTCATAATTATCTGGCATACATTCCTTTTCTACATTTGTGTAAACTACATTAGTTCCATTAAGAAAACACTGCAGAGAAAATATCCTAAGAGAGGAAAGTCTCCTGTTGATAACAAAAAAAAAAAAAAAAAAAAAAAAAAAAAAAAATTAAAGAATTCTTAAGCAAGTGAATTTTTCCTTCCTGGTCTTTTTCTCTATATAAGGAAAATCTCTCAGAAATGAAACTTTTGGTTTCATCCAAAGCAATCTGTTTTACTCCTTGAAATGAAAAACAACTTAGAGATGCCAGTATAAGCAAGTGGAAGAACAGATCACATTGTTACTGAACCTGCTTTGAACGCTGTTGTCCGTGATGCACTCTACAAAAGGAAGACAAGTACAAGTGATGGGGTGGCAGACCTTTGTTGTTCCCTGTCTCTCTCTGCCACAGGTTAAAACCCCTGCATACCAGGGCCCCAACAACCCTGCAGTGAAGAACTGACCACAAAACCCTTACTCCTCAAACACAATCTATTAATCTCTTGTTGAAATTGTCTTAGAATTTCCAAAATATACTTTGGAAAATTCTGGTTATGGGTTCAGAAGGCAAATTTCTTCAGGAGCTATCTAGGACTCAAGTGCTATGTGGGACGAGCACATTATTACAGAAGACATTTCAGTCATTAGATTTGATTTTATAATGTGAGCATGATTAAAAATTCAGTCATTATGGTATTTGTAATTGAATCAAATCAAATCAAATTTCACAGCATTTTCACACTATTAAGAAACTCAATTAAGAGAGTAATGGGACAATCAGATTTCTTAAACAAACAATATTTATAACACAAGTTCATATGTGCTTGTGTCTATCCAAGTGATAAACTGTTAGTATATTGAGCTGATACTCAAGTTATTCAAATTATTTTGATAATAAGGTAAAACAAGGCAAAATAAGAAAATATCATTGTTTCATAAACCATTTAATAAATATCTTGCTTCATGAGTACCAGGGTTCATTAAAATTCTGCTGGAAATTGTCTACATTTTTGACATACAGATTTACTCAAATTCTATCAAGTTTAGCATTTGTACT